ATGCTTTAAAAGCTTTCTGTCTTGATGTAGAAAAATGTGTGTAATTAACTTCTTTGTGTTGAAATTATCCTTGGCTTGGAATTTTGTTGAAATTATCCTATTACTCTTCTGTATGCAACATGTGGACTGTTCTTCGTTACGCTGTTTGTTACAGCAGTCTGATGTTGTATTTTGCACTCAGTTGGATGTCTCTTTATTTTCTCTGTGGTTTTAGACTGTGCTTTTATTTTAGCAAAGAATGTCTTGACTTTTTTTTTAACATCATGAGGTCTGAGTGGGAGCGAAGCACCCAGCACTGGTTCTTGTTCATTTTGACAAACTTGCTTTTCTGTTGACCAGTTTTTTTACTTGCCATTCTCTTTCTTTCCTTGTTCCAGATGGCCAGTTCTTCACCTGGGGGCAGAACAGCTATGGCCAGCTGGGCTTGGGCAAAGAATGTCCCTCCCAAGCCAGTCCACAACGTGTCAAGTCTCTTGATGGGATCCCTTTGGCTCAGGTTGCTGCAGGCGGAGCCCACAGTTTTGCCCTCTCTCTCTCAGGAGCTGTGTTTGGCTGGGGGAAGAACAGCTCAGGACAGCTGGGACTAAGTGATGAACGAGGTATTAAAATTATACTCCTAGGTGAAAGAAGGATCGACTCTTTTGGCTTAGTTTCTCTTTTCGCATTGACAGTATGTTTTTACTGAGCGCAAAGGTAACCCTCAGCAGCTCCTCTTGGGAGGAGAGGCCACAGGAACAGTCTCTGACTGACTCCATAGGCTTTTCCTACTTGGTAGGAACAGAAACACTTTTTTTTTTTTTTCCCCTTGTGGATGTTAGTGGAAGTGAGGAAGGTCAAAAAGATCTTTCAAATGTGAGTATCAGCATGCAGGCATCAAAGGAAGTCTTCATATTCTTTCTTCCTCTTCTCAAAAATGCTTTGTCCATATTTTGTTTGAAATGGATGTGGAGCAAAGGCTTTTCCTGCAGAACAGCAGACTGAACCCATTCCCTTGTTTGCCAACGTGTTTTTGACTGAGGAGCATCCGTATGCTACAAAATGATGGCCATACAGAGTATCTCAGTATTGTAAAACGTTGTCTAGTTTTTGTTGCACAATTTTCCAGACACACAGGGCCAATGGTAGTTTTTTCAGGTGGCCATGTTCAGTGAAGCCTAGCCATCAACAGACTTGAAGATAGGTTTATAAATGAGGCTGAAGTGTGGATATGACATTACCACTAGTCTGAAAAGCCCGGATCTCCTCCGCTTGTTAACACGTTTTTAACTTTTTGCCAAAGTGAATGAAAGATTTTCTTTGGACCTTTGAATCAACCTCTTTATAATTTTCTGCATAGTTGCTGAGTAGCTGTAAATATCTATGCAAGTTACTGAGTGGGGATGTGATACCTAGCATGCATGGATAACTTATTTTGCATGGGTGAGTACATGAGGTATATTTGTAAATGTTGCATAATGTAGTAGCATATAAACACTGTATGTTGCAAGAGAAAAGTGTTACCTCACGTTTTATGTGCATATGATGCATATATAATGAAATGATGTATTTTGATGACCTGCCCTACCAACTGAAACTTATTTAAAGCAATTCCTCAAAACCAGCCTGTAGTTTAGCAAAGGATGCTCATATGTTGTATGCATCATTTAATCTTGCTTTACGCTTTGAGAAATACAAAACACAATTGTAAGACTTGTAACACATCTTATGTTCTCTAAAAACTGCTCCAGGTCTATTCTCTGGTACTGTATGTAAGCTGATCTAGTATAAGTGCAGCCGTGTTCTTTCCATGTAGACCGACAGATAAATGCTTCTAATTTCAACAAAGCTGCAGTTAGCAGCAAGTGGCTTGCTTTGACACAGAGCTAATCTTAAATGAATGGGGCATCTGCTTGTGGGGCTGTGTTGGCCAGGGATCGTACTGTGCTTGCCCCTCAATACATGGCACTGCAGTAAATATGTCATACTTATGGGAAGTGAATTGTGGTACCCCTCAATACATGGCACTGCAGTAAATGTCATACTTATGGGAAGTGAATTGTGGTAAGACAGTGTGAATTATGCTTAGTGAACATGAGCAGCCAAGTCTAAATGTGAGTATTCTGCAGCACTGTTACTTAACCAGTTATGCTGTAGAGATAAGACATGTCATTCCTGTCAAAATAAAGATCAGAGTGCTAAAATACAGAACAAAGTAAATGAAAAATCTGCTCTTATTTCTAAATCTGTGAAAATGTGACCATTTTCCTTCCACTACCCAGAAAAAAGCACCTGTCAAATCCTTGGGTGAGAGTCTTAAGAAATGGACAACTTTGATAGGTAGGAACCTGATTTTTTTTGTTGGTATGAAGTAAGCAGCTGCTCCCCTTAATGTCTAACTGTTCTGGGGTGCCTACTGCTACTTGAAATGCTTAGTTTTATTTTTACATCAGTAAAACATGTAACACTGCTTAGTGTATTCATCCTTGGGAGATGGACTTTCAATGGTTAGAATGTCACAGTGAAGGAGAAAAGCATCATTTAACTGTTGGCAGTGAATAGCCTTTGCAAGTAGGAGGATCTTCTTAAAGGATGACAGCAGAAGGAAGGCTAGGCATTTAAATACACCTTGGGATTGAGCTTGTCATGTGTGTTGCACTAGTGTCTCCCACGTGTCAGGATTATTCCGTGTGGAAAAGGTCTAAGCAAGGTTTTCGAAACTGATGCTTGCAGTCATCAGTGAGTCTGGAATGGAGCATGAGGCTGAAGGAGGGCATAGCTAGGCTGCGCTCATCATACATCCCAAACTGCAGGTGCATGTTGAGTTTAGACAGGATTCTCAATATTTGTGTTCTTGCTCTGGACAATTTTCTTTGAGCCAGGACAAATCTTTTAAGAAGGGGGAAGTAGAGGGAAAGCAGCAGTGAAATACTCCAGGACGTGAGGTGTTTTTTTTCCCCACAGTTGTTAAAGCTTCCATTGCACGCGTAGACCACATCTGAAAAGCAGACTTCCAGTGGTTTTCTCAGATATTTCGGTTTGTGTTTATGTAACAGCTCCTTTATTTTCTTTGTCTTTAATGCAGACCGAGAATCTCCTTGTCATGTGAAGCTGTTGCGGTCTCAGAAGGTTGTTTACATCAGCTGTGGAGAGGAACACACAGCAGTTCTGACAAAGGTAAGGATGCTGACCTGGGAACCCTGGCTGCTGTCTTGCCTGCCTGATAGTTTCACATTAGTTTCCTGGGTAATGGTAGAAAAGAACAGATCGACTTACCGTATTCCATCTGACCCGAGTAAAAGAAACTAAATAGAAAGTATAGTCTTACTATAATTTATTCTGAGATTCATTGCCAACATGATCCATTGCTGGTTTTGAAGATGTTAGTAATCTGTGACAATGAATAGTAAGACTCAGGTGAATTGCTCAAAGAAGTTAGCTTGAGCGAAAAAAATTAACAAGCATGTCCAAAGGGGTGAAAACAGCATTTTGTTGGAAGATAAAAAGTGAGTGATATTGTGCATCAGAATAAAATGCAAGTCAAAACGAATGCATGTTTAAATGAAACATTAGCAGTCACTCACAGTATTTACAAGAGGTTTTCATTTGCAAACCTGCTGTTTCCAAGTGATGTATAATTTAGTGGGCAGAGGACGGTGCTAGGGTTTGGAAGATCACTGCTCAGTTCTTGCCTTGCCTCAGCCACTTCCTAGGTGTTCCTTCCTTTTTTGGTGCCTCATTCTTTTTCACTGTAAAATGAATTAAACCACTGGCTTTGGGCTTCCTGTGGGAAGAATACTGTTGCAGAAGATCAGTTCTGTAGAAGCTCTTTTTCAAAGAAAAAGATCACAATCTTTTTGATCAGCAGGTGAGATAGGTGTAAAGTATTGTGGAAATGGGTGCTACTCAGCCGTATTTAAACATGCTGGGATTTCAGACCCATCTGGTGATAGTGGGGGGAAGCTTGTCTAATGTAGACATACCTAGAGATAGTTCTGTTAGTATCTGATGGGTGGCAAGGTAGCTTACTTGGAAGCTGCATTTGCCGAACCTAAGCTTCTTTTCTGAACCCTTTGGAAATCCCCAGCAATCTCTGCCTGAGCTTGGGCTCATACTGAAACTGGAGTCAGAGATACTGCTGGGTTATGGGTCCCTAAATGGAGAATATGCTGTTTGATTTGCTAACAGAGTGGAGGGGTGTTCACGTTCGGTGCAGGTTCCTGCGGGCAACTGGGACATGACTCCATGAATGATGAAGTGAACCCCCGAAGAGTTCTTGAGCTAATGGGCAGTGAAGTATCCCAGATTGCTTGTGGCAGGTGAGTGCTGTGTGCAGTCAGAGATTTTCTTTGGTGGAGGTTAATGCTGACACTGAACCTTGTAAACAGGGGGAGTAGTCTTGCTTCTGCATATGATGGGTCAAAACTAAGTTAACTTAAATTTTACTTCCCATGAGAATTTTAAGGCCCCCTAAAGGAGGCTGTTTTTTAATTGGGGTTGTTCCCTGTGCTGTAACCTGGTAAAACATACCTTTCCATCTTCATAATTCAGCAGAACTTTAGAGCAGCAGCCCCTTTGGTCACAAGTTTCCAGCCTCTTTTGTGAAAAAGAGAGTTAGTAACACTGGTGCTGTGTTGTGGCCTTTTGATATGTACAGGGTTAGCAAATGACTAAGCTAATTCTGTCTGTGAGCCTGATACCAGCTGTGTGCTGGCACAAGCTGCTCTTTGTCACTTCCAGCTGAAGAGGTCCATCTCATAAACTGGTGCCAGCAAGTGGCAAGAGCTGAGCGTTGGTGCTACTGTAAAGATGCTGCTTTGCTCCAGCTTCTGACCTTGGGGAACCAAGAACAAATTTTAGGCAGTGTTTTGGTTTGGTGTTTTTTCCTTTTTAATTGTTAAACAAGGCCCAAACTTTATACCTATCTCTGTTACAGACATCACACTTTAGCCTTTGTGCCTTCTTCAGGAATGATCTATGCATTTGGCTGTGGAACAAGGGGCCAGCTGGGAACAGGACACACTTGCAATGTTAAGTGTCCCTCTCCTGTCAAGGGTCACTGGGCAGCTCACAATGGGCAGCTCTCAGGGAAACCTGGTACGTACTGTGCGCAATTTGGAGTTGCAAATGGACATAAATAATTTCATTTCACCCATGGCTGTCTAAAGACATCTTGATACTGTTCTGTGAGTTCTTGAAATAGCAAAAGAAACCCGTCCTCCTGTCCCAAATGCACTGTGGAAATTACTGGGTGACGTCTTGCTGTCTCTGTTAATGTATGCCCTCTCCCTAACTCTTTTCATGGCAGAGCTCAACATTTGGTGATCTTAAGCCTTCATGAAATTGTACTGATTTCTGAGTGCTTTGGTTTCTCTTTACAACCCCTGTTGCAGTTTAAAAATTACAACTTTTCCATCCTGCCAGGCCCCGTGTATCTCAAAGTGCTACAGTGCCTGAGTTCCAACTGATTTTAGCCTGGCCTTCCAGAGACCCCGGTGCTCCTTGTAGTGTAAAGCCAGAGACA